TATCCTGCGCCACGTTAGGGCACAGAGATCCCCCCGGGGCTTCCCGCAGTTGGTCCTGCGTGACACCCGGGGAGCCCCGCGCTGTTTTAGAGCGTGGGAAGCTCCCCGAGCGTCTGCGCACAGCCTCCTCCACCAACCTGCGACGTGAGGACACTGTGGACGTTCTGTGGTCTCCAGCCTTCTCCTCCGCGCCGCTCTGGGTATGGGCAGCAGGCTCCGGGACCGTAGAGGAGGGACGAGCACCGGGAGGGACAGGAGGAACAGCCGCAACCGGGGAACGTGAGGTGAGGACCGGGGTAGAGCATGATGAGGGGTGAGGACAGGTGATGGGGTCCCAAAGAGCAGTGTCGTGGAGTGTGGTAGCGAGCTGTGAATGTCTAAGTACGGAGAGGGATATTTTCTGTGACTGCTTGAATGAGATGTCCATGAAATGTTCCAGAAGTTTCTCTTTATGTATGAGTTCTGTGGATAGTTGTGTAACACTGCATTGAAGTTCCTCGGGGGTCATTGCGTTTACTGGTTTGGATGGAAGAATAGAAGCAAGTTGTGATTTGTAGATTTGTCTGTATGAGTTCTCGGGGGGAGCAGCGGTGTCCATGGTGGCGTATGTGGGCAGGCTGGTTACCGCGGTAACTGTTAAAAGGCTGATATACAGTCCAGTTAAAAGTGACAGTAATCCTGTTGTGGCACAACCTGTTAAAATCCGCTTAATCCATCAGTTGTTACGAATAAAAACAGTAATAAAAGCTTAGTTTAAAAAATAAATCCAAAAAGTGTGCAGTTCAAAAAAAGGCTCCAAACAAATGCGTCCGCCATCTTGCACATGCGCACATGCTGTCATCCTAAAGGTTAGAAAGTACATGCATGTGAAAACCAGTGATAGACACTTTAGAAATACTTAGACCCACCTTAACCCTAACCTTAACCATCTTACTCAGACCACCTTAACCCTAACCTTAACCATCTTACTCAGACCACCTTAACCCTAACCTTAACCATCTTACTCAGACCACCTTAACCCTAACCTTAACCATCTTACTCAGACCACCTTAACCCTAACCTTAACCATCTTACTCAGACCACCTTAACCCTAACCTTAACCATCTTACTCAGACCACCTTAACCCTAACCTTAACCATCTTACTCAGACCACCTTAACCCTAACCTTAACCATCTTACTTAGACCACCTTAACCCTAACCATAACCATCTTACTCAGACCACCTTAACCTTAACCATCTTACTCAGACATCTAAAACGTAACCAGTCACCATTTAAGGACTTATTAGTCTAAAACTAATTCCAAAGTAGGATTGTTACTTCCGCTTTTGTCCCGACTAGATCCCGATGATCTAGTGCCGACCAGAGCACCGGCCCCTCACTGATCCTCCTGCAGGTGCTCAGTCCACAGGAGCCTAGATCTTTCAACAGGGGCTTCAGGCAAAGTGGGGTTAAGTGTCTTGCCAAAGGACACAACGACAAGAGCAATGCTCTACCAACTGGGCCACTGTCATATTCCACTGTTTCCACCTGCGGCTGCTATTATTACTACTATTTATTACTATGAAAGAGTGAAAGAGTCAAATATACGGAAAGAAAGTCAGAAACCAAAAGAATAATTGTCACTTCTCGTCATAAAGTATTTTACTCTTGTGCATCTCGACTGAACTGTCCTGACCCCAAATCCACATCTGAGCTAAGATGAGTTTCTGTACGACTTTAGTTTAGGGACAATTTGACAATTTTGATGTTAATTGGAGTCATGCTCTGCTTCCTGGTGATTACCATGTGACTTTCCCCTGGTCCCTGGACAAGAAGCACCTCTGTTCTGACCAGTGGGGGCGGGTCCCGGCTCAAAAGTGGCCAAAATGACGTGCGCTGACATGCTGCAATACCACTCCGGGCCGATGGGGGTGAACCCGGACTAAAAATTCTTCTTCCACATTTGTGTCAATGCTGAGGGGAGTGTTTTGGACCAGTCTAGTTTAGTCGCTGTGAATTTTTGAAGTCACTCGTTTAAATGAATGGGGCTCGTGCAGCTGATGCATGCGCAGGTGCGTTTTTTTTCACATTTTCCAGCCCCCGCGGCCATTTTGAATCACTCCATGAAAGCCCAATTTTTGGCCCATTAGTTAGAACGGCGGAGATAGGCGTGACTACGTCCGATAATATTTACAGTCTCTGGTTCTGATGCAAAATACTTAAACGATCAGACGCCAGCATTTTTGGGGTCGGAAAAAGGACATTTAAGAAGGTTCTAGAGTGGAAAGGGAGATCAGAGAGAGACCAGAGAGAGACGAGAAAGACCAGAGAGAGACCAGAGAGAGACTAGAGAGAGACCAGAGAGACTAGAGAGAGACTAGAGAGAGAGACCAGAGAGACACTAGAGAGATAGACCAGAGAGAGAGACCAGAGAGACTAGAGAGAGACTAGAGAGAGAGACCAGAGAGACACTAGAGAGAGAGACCAGAGAGAGAGATCAGAGAGAGACCAGAGAGACTAGAGAGAGAGACCAGAGAGACACTAGAGAAAGAGACCAGAGAGAGACCAGAGAGAGAGACCAGAGAGAGACCAGAGAGAGACTTGAGAGAGACTAGAGAGAGACCAGAGAGAGACTAGAGAGAGAGATCAGAGAGAGAGACCAGAGAGACTAGAGAGAGAGAGCAGAGAGACACTAGAGAGAGAGACCAGAGAGACTAGAGAGAGAGAGCAGAGAGACTAGAGAGAGAGAGCAGAGAGACACTAGAGAGAGAGACCAGAGAGAGACCAGAGAGAGAGACCAGAGAGAGACCAGAGAGAGACCAGAGAGAGAGACCAGAGAGAGAGACCAGAGAGAGAGACCAGAGAGAGACATGAGGGACCAGAGAGAGAGACCAGAGAGAGAGACCAGAGAGAGAGACCAGAAGAGGAGAGGAGAGAAGCATTATTACAGCAACATCTCCTGCAGTCTGTGGCAGGTGAAAACTTTCATTAAATTAAAAAGAAAAACATTCACTTCTTACACAATTTTGTGAAAATGATTTCCTGTGTTCAGCTTGGACTGTTGCTTGTGGTCCGAGTCCGAGTCTGGGTCTGGGTCCGAGTCCGAGTCTGTTGTCGTTCGGACCTGAGGCTCTTTCTTTACTCAAATTCACTCCATTTAAAATCAAAAGAGTAGTTACAGAAATAGATACAGAAAAGTGACAAACTGCAGAAAGTGTAAAAAAAGTGTCACTTCCACATTTCCTGAATTGTGGTTGTGTGTGGTTGTGTGTGGCTGCGTATGTGGCTGTGTGTGGCTGTGTGTGGTTGTGTGTGGCTGTGTGTGGTTGTGTGTGGTTGTATGTGGTTGTGTGTGGTTGTGTGTGGTTGTATGTGGTTGTGTGTGGTTGTGTGTGGTTGTATGTGGCTGTGTGTGGTTGTATGTGGTTGTATGTGGTTGTGTGTGGCTGTGTGTGGTTGTGTGTGGTTGTATGTGGCTGTGTGTGGTTGTATATGGCTGTGTGTGGTTGTATGTGGTTGTGTGTGGTTGTATGTGGTTGTGTGTGGTTGTATGTGGTTGTGTGTGGCTGTGTGTGGTTGTATGTGGCTGTGTGTGGTTGTATGTGGTTGTGTGTGGCTGTGTGTGGTTGTGTGTGGTTGTGTGTGGTTGTATGTGGCTGTGTGTGGTTGTATATGGCTGTGTGTGGTTGTATGTGGTTGTGTGTGGTTGTATGTGGTTGTGTGTGGCTGTATGTGGTTGTGTGTGGCTGTGTGTGGTTGTATGTGGCTGTGTGTGGTTATATGTGGTTGTGTGTGGCTGCGTGTGTGGCTGTATGTGGCTGTGTGTGGCTGTGTGTGGCTGTGTGTGGTTGTATATGGCTGTGTGTGGTTGTATGTGGTTGTGTGTGGCTGTGTGTGGTTGTGTGTGGCTGCGTGTGTGGCTGTGTGTGGCTGTGTGTGGCTGTGTGTGGTTGTGTGTGGTTGTGTGTGGCTGCGTATGTGGTTGTGTGTGGCTGTGTGTGGCTGTGTGTGGTTGTGTGTGGCTGTGTGTGGCTGTGTGTGGCTGTGTGTGGCTGTGTGTGGCTGTGTGTGGCTGTGTGTGGCTGTGTGTGGTTGTGTGTGGCTGCGTATGTGGTTGTATGTGGCTGTGTGTGGCTGTGTGTGGCTGTGTGTGGTTGTATGTGGTTGTATGTGGTTGTGTGTGGCTGTGTGTGGTCGTGTGTGGCTGCGTGTGTGGCTGTGTGTGGCTGTGTGTGGTTGTGTGTGGCTGTGTGTGGCTGTGTGTGGTTGTGTGTGGTTGTGTGTGGGCTGCGTATGTGGTTGTGTGTGGCTGTGTGTGGCTGTGTGTGGCTGTGTGTGGTTGTGTGTGGCTGTGTGTGGTTGTGTGTGGTTTTGTGTGGCTGTGTGTGGTTGTGTGTGGCTGTGTGTGGCTGTGTGTGGTTGTGTGTGGCTGTGTGTGGCTGTGTGTGGCTGTATGTGGTTGTGTGTGGTTGTATTTGATTGTATGTGGTTGTATGTGGTTGTGTGGTTGTATGTGTGGTTGTGTGGTTGTATGTGTGGTTGTGTGTCTTGTTCTGTCTGTCTCCAGTGATAAACTACAGCTGCCCTGGGGCACACTGACAGAAGCGAGGCAACCAGTCTGTGCCATCGGCCCCTCCCACCACCACCAACCATTCACACACACACCAGACTCATTCTAATGTGGGGGAAGTGTCTTGCCCAAGGACACAATGACAAGGAGTATGTCCCTTCACAGCCGCCCCACTGTGGCACCTGAGCTGTTCCCAGAGGTCTCCCATCACAGTACTAACCAGACCCTGCCCTGCTTAGCCTCAGAGTTTTGACGGGATCTGGCTTTAACATGCAGCAAACGCATATAAACATGTATAAATAAACTTCTGAGAAAATTAATTATACACAACATAGAATAAAATCTTTTGCCAATTTCATATTTGTAGAAGTGTTTTGTGTTTCCCAGATGTAAACAATCTCTGCAGCGAGTCCACGCCTGGTTGTGGTGGTCAGACAGCGGTCTCTCACCTGTGATCCTGGCCGTGGACTCGCCATGTCCTCTCCGTCTCTGCAGCAGAAAGTACGCGTTGCTTTTCTCCGTAATCCAAAGTTTCAGAGCATTTTTCACCAAAACTTCCTCCGGGTTCAGCCACATTGTCTCCCCGCAGCTGCAGCAGTCAGGCGCGGGCAGAGAGGCGCGGAGGCTCGGGCACAGACCTCCGCTCTCCTCCGCTCTCCTCGGCTCTCTCCCCACCCCGGAGGTCTCTGGAGCAGCGGATCCGCCTGGGAGCGCCTGAGGTCCGGGTAGAGCAGTGGGTTAGACACGCCGTGCTCTGGTTCGCTCCATGTTTGATTTCCTGCTTTCCTTTCGCGCAACAGCTGTACACATGAGGCAGAGAGTGTGTGTGTGGCAGGAGGGCTCACTGCGCAAGAGACGAGCCTTCTTCTTCTTCTTCTTCTTCTTCTTCTTCTACTTTCTTGGCCTTGATTTGGGATGATCTTTGTCAACTCAACTCCAGCACTCCCATAGCAGTCTATTTGACGGCTTTTACTTTTGGAAGTGTTCGAGCCCACCTTGAGGCCTTCTCCACCGACTCCCACTGATGTCTGCTGTTGTTGTGTCCTTGGTGCAAGACACTTAACCCCACTCTGCCTGAAAGATCAAGGCTGTACCGCTTCAAGATGACTGCCACCCCCGACCCAGAAATGGATTAAGGGGAAGAAAATGGATGGATAGTTTTGGAGGTGTATTCATGATTTACTCAGCCCACATCCTTATACTGTAGTTTATTTCTATGTCATTCGTTTTCATTAAATCTTTTATTTTTGCAATGTGAAGAATTCTACTTTTAACTCCCAGAAATCCCGGAGCCGTCATTTTGACTGCTCTGTAATAATCACGACTTTAGCACTAAATAAAAGTGAATGAATAAATGTTATATATCTGGTGGAAAAACTAAATATGTTTTGGTAATTTCTCAGGCGCAGTGGTCTGACCCAGAGCTGTCATTTTCCCATGTCTTCATCTCACTAGGAAACATCATGTTGTCTTTTGTTTACGTTCTTGAAAGATCCCTGTGAGTCATTATTTGAAGCTGAGAGCTGATTGGCCGAGTGAGGGAGGGCCATCTTTTTCACTTTTCTGTCTGAAAAACATGGTCTAAAGAAGTGACAGAGGCAAAAAAATGGTGAGAGAGGAACAAGCCGGATGGATCTGAAAACATATTTTATATATTATTGGCAAGGAAAGTATTAACGGCTTATTAACCGAGCAAGCAAGTTTAATAAATGTTTTATTATATGACTCTCGTCTGTGTCTTTACCAATGCTTTTGAGATATTTGTGAAGTATGTTCATGTCAGACTTGGTTTTGTGTGATACGGGCTGCAGACTGATTGTCATGGTAACGGTCCGAGGAAAGATATCAAATGTGATACGCGCTGTTCGGACCAATTGTCATGGTAACGGTCCGAGATGGGAAAATATCAGACCGGTAATCAGCCAATCAGAGCACGCGTACGGTCCAAGTCATATAATAAATATATGTGCTATAAATATATATCTATAGCACAGTTTATAAACACAGTTATAAACAAGGCAACTCAAAGTGCTGAACAATCACACAAGTAATTAACATCATAAATAATCACAGAACATTGAAAAGAGTGAAGATAAAACCTGGAGATAAACATTGTCAGAGAAGAAGCCTGTCTCACATTTTCAGGAAGACTGATCAAGGTTTTAGCATAAATCTGAAACACTGCCTCCTCATGTTTAGTCCTGACTCTGGGACCAGCAGGAGGCCAGTCCCTGTGCTCCTCTGAGTCTCAGCAGGAGGCCAGTCCCTGTGCTCCTCAGAGTCTCAGCAGGAGGCCAGTCCCTGTGCTCCTCAGAGTCCCAGCAGGAGGCCAGTCCCTGTGCTCCCCAGAGTCCCAGCAGGAGGCCAGTCCCTGTGCTCCCCAGAGTCCCAGCAGGAGGCCAGTCCCTGTGCTCCTCAGAGTCCCAGCAGGAGGCCAGTCCCTGTGCTCCTCAGAGTCCCAGCAGGAGGCCAGTCCCTGTGCTCCTCAGAGTCCCAGCAGGAGGCCGGCCCCTGTGCTCCTCAGTCCCAGCAGGAGGCCAGTCCCTGTGCTCCTCAGAGTCCCAGCAGGAGTATATCATCATATACTTTTAATGTACTTTAGATTCTAAAACTGAATTTTGTTGCATTGCACTGACTTTGTAATGACAACAAAGTTGAATCTAAACTAATCTGATCCAATAATAACATATTTTGTCCATGATCTTCAAAAACATGTAGTTTGTTGTTACTTTTTGCTCTGACAGAGTGAGCGCTCTGTCTTCACTCCACTTCCTCATTTCACTGTGACGCCATCACGTCCGCCTCGCGCTCCTGCAGGTGTCCAGATTATTCTCAAATTAAATTAATAAAAGTAAAGTCACGTATAAAACAATAGTGTCCAATCTTCGCTTCCATGTTTTAGAAACCAGAGAGTATTTGTGCCGCAATCTTTCTACAAGTGTCTGCAAAAACAACAGTCTGTCCTCCAAGTAACGGACCAGACCATGAACACGAGCGCTCTCAGAGCAGTCAAATGGACGGCTTTTGAGCTTTATGTCTTAACTTTTCTGAAATTATTTGTTGTTGTCCAAATATTTCTGTACTTTTTATATGTAGCCATTTTTGGTCGCTAGGCAACCATAGCGAGTTACCATAGCAACATATTGTTTACTTGCAGCAGTTAGCATTTGATAGCTTTTGGGAATTGGTTTTTGCTGTATTTCAAGTTATAATTTACTGTTGTTGTTTTCATTTGCATCTATATATAAAAACAAATAATTCAAGTAATTTTAGCTTTTTGAGTTGTTTCTTATTGCTCTGTTGTTGGCGAATCTACAACTTTGTAAAGTCCTCCGTGACCTCTGCTGTTGTGATTTAGGGCTAAACACAAATACATTGAATTGAATTAAGTCACACCACTGTAATTTTACAACATTCTTTTTGTTGGAACAAACTACATGTATTTTTGATGTTTATTTAAAAAGTTCGATTCCCCAGATTTAAATGCACTCCTGTGGTGTTGGGTAAAGTTTATCACTGTATCTGTGTGGGTTTCCTCTGGGCGCTACGGTTTCCCACACCGCCCAAAACATGCAGCATAATCCTCCAGCTCCGGTCCTGACCAGTAGCAGCAAAAACCATCCACTAAAAACAAAAACAAATGAATTGATCATTCTAAAAAGCTAAAAATATCAAATCAGTGTATTTTCGTACAGATTAAACATGGCATAATAAATGATGCTTTATTTGAGTTTATGACACATTATTATCAAACTTATATTACACTTTTTACTTTTGCATTCCTCCATTTTAGTAGTACCTTTGTTTAAAGAAAACTGGGCGGTCTAAAGAATAAAACATAAACAGAATATATGTTTGTTGTTATATGTATATATATATATGTATATATGTTATATGACTTATACAATAACAAAAACTGCTTAAAGATTTTTGACAGTTCCTTTCATGTCAATGTAATCGTGGTTGTTTAAAGTCGTTTAAAGGTGCAGGTGTTGGACCGGTCCTGAGGCAGTCTATGGACTGGTTCTGAGTTGAGTCCCAGTTACCATAGCAACACACCGGTCACTTGACAGCAGTCAATGAGCTTTCAACAAACTGTTTTACTGTGATTCAAGTTATATTCGCCAGTTTTAGCATGTGATGTATTAAAGGTCAGCAAAGACAAAATAGTGGAGAACTAAAATGGTTTTTGGGGTTTCTTTTCAGAATTCCATTGATTTAGTTCTAGAAGTTTCAGAGTTCGGGGACTCCTGTGTTGAATGATAAATGAATGTATTTCTTTCATGACCTGGAGACTTGTGTTACAAACATAACTCTAGTCTTCCATAGGCCTTTGTCACAGAATGAATAATTTTCCTGTTTGGTTTACGGCACCAGCTGCTTCTGTGCCAAAAATGGCATGTGCGCTCTCACTCCTTTTATGGTCACGTTCAGCGTCAGGCGGAAACCGGTGTTACATTTATTATTGTCCCCCGAGAGACCGAACTTCCTCATGCTCTCAACATTAGCGAATTAAAACAAGCACAACCAAGTTACATATATATTTAATGCTTTAATAACATATTATGAATTATTACGTGGATATATTCGATCTGTGTTCAGTGTATTTTCAGTTGTAGCTGTTGTTTCCAGTCGAACTCTTTTGTCTGGAGCTCTTTCTGTTTCCGGGTTTGTGGAAGAGCAGTGGTGTGATTTCAGAGCAGCGACTTATTCAACAAAATGCAGGTTTTTAAAGCTTAGATTATTATGTTTTGCTGCCGAAAAACACGTGCCATGTGACAGCAGCAAGTGTCAACTTAAAAGTCCGAATTTATATTAAATTATCTTTGATACAGACGAGATAGTGTTGAGCAATGGGCTTGGTCACTCACACATCTGCCTGTGGGTCTCTTGTATAGCTGCCTGTTGCTAATGTTTTGTCCAAATATTTATATAATATCTTCAAATTAAACGTATTTCCTCTGTTTACATTGGTTGGTATTTCCAGTCATTAGTCTTGTGAATTATGTGCATTACTCTCATCTTAGCTGTATGGACATGTTACACTACACATTTCTCAGAGCATCCATCTATCCATGTTCTTCCACTTTATCCGTTGCCGGGTCTTGGTGCAGCTGTCTGAGCAGAGATGCCCAGAGTCGACGTCCCTCTTTACACACACTTAGACATATCACTCAAATTGTTTATTATTGCTTGTTATTCTAAGCTGACACAGAGTAGCCCCCGGGTCTTTAAAAAGGTATTGATTTTGATGCAGCCAAACGCAAGGCGGTAAAATGGCTTTACATTTGAGAGATGGTGAGGGTAAATATTGTTGTATGCCAGATTGTGTGCGCTCTGTAGTCTTAGGGATAACCTGTGGATTACTGTTTTATCTGATATCTGATGATTTTTGTGTTTTGAATGTTATGATACACCCAGGACCCAAATGAAGACACAGAGTGGAACGATATCCTCCGGAAGAAGGGGATCCTGCCTCCGAAAGAAGTCCCCAAAGAGGATGAGGAGGAGGAGGCGCTGGCTCTTCAGCAGTCTGTCGGTACGAACTGAAACAACTTAGCATCTATTAAAACATACAACAAACTCAATTATGGCTGCACCGGAAGTTCAGCTTGTATTGGTCTCATCCAGTATTTTAGGGGTGTCAACCTGGACTGGTGTGGCTGCAGTCTTTAGGTCCAACCAAGCAGAAAACAAAAATCTGTCCAGAAAAAGATCTCACATTGTACCCATATTTTTAGTTAGTTATTCATAGCTTAAGAATGATCCATTTATTTTTGCTGCTATTGGACACTTAAATTTCAATAAAGTATATATCTACCTGTCTGTCTATCTATATTAAATACTGTTTAGGAGTTGTATTAGCAGTAAGAATTTGTATTTCAAATGTATGCTTCAATAAACTATAAACAATAAACATGACACACATGTATAGATAGATAGAGCATATTTGGCTCTATCTATCTTCATGCTAGTTTAATTCTCTAGTTTAAATCTTTCTTCAAACGTACTATAAGGGCCTTTTTATTGAGTACCAAAATATCTGTGTGAGACAAATGATGCCTTCCTGGACAGACACATTTGGAATGGCGTCCTGGAGGTGCTTCTGCTCACATGAATATATTCACGCCGGTCATTTTTGAACAGTAGAAAACGAGCAAACGTATAACTTTGATATGTGTTGGTGTAAAGCATTCTGTCGTCTTTTCATTTTTCCGACAGTGAAAACCTACGAGAGCATGACGTTAGAAGAACTGGAGGAGAACGAGGATGAATTTGGTGAAGACGACGAAGCTGCGATTGAGATGTACAGGTAACACCAACACGGGGTGCTCTGTGAGACCGAAGCTCACCCGGTCTGGAGGTTTCACATCAGAGAGATTTCTAAGTTCTGGATTCTGCACTGGTTTGGAAACTTTTTTTTGACTCTTTTTCTTGAAGACTTTTTACTTCTTTGTAAGACGAAAATGGTTCAATTCAATTTATTTTGTGGCTTTAATTTTTTGTTTTAGTCCTGCTTTAGACCTGCTTTTATCCTGTTTTAGACCTACTTTCGTCCGGCTTTAGTTCTGTTTAAGTCCTGCTTTAGACCTGCTTTAGTCCTGCTTTAGACCTGCTTTAGTCCTGCTTTAGACCTGCGTTAGACCTGCTTTAGACCTGCTTTAGACCTGCTTTAGACCTGCTTTAGTAGACCTGCTTTAGACCTGCTTTAGACCTGCTTTAGTAGACCTGCTTTAGACCTGCTTTAGACCTGCTTTAGACCTGCTTTAGACCTGCTTTAGACCTGCTTTAGACCTGCTTTAGTCCTGCTTTAGACCTGCTTTAGACCTACTTTAGTCCTGCTTTAGACTTGCTTTAGACCTGCTTTAGACCTGCTTTAGTCCTGCTTTAGACTTGCTTTAGACCTGCTTTAGACCTGCTTTAGTCCTGCTTTAGACTTGCTTTAGTCCTGCTTTAGTCCTGCTTTAGACCTGCTTTAGACCTGCTTTAGACCTGCTTTAGACCTGCTTTAGTAGACCTGCTTTAGACCTGCTTTAGACCTGCTTTAGTCCTGCTTTAGACCTGCTTTAGTCCTGCTTTAGACCTGCTTTAGACCTGCTTTAGTCCTGCTTTAGACCTGCTTTAGACCTGCTTTAGTCCTGCTTTAGACCTGCTTTAGACCTGCTTTAGACCTGCTTTAGTAGACCTGCTTTAGACCTGCTTTAGACCTGCTTTAGACCTGCTTTAGTCCTGCTTTAGACCTGCTTTAGTCCTGCTTTAGACCTGCTTTAGTAGACCTGCTTTAGACCTGCTTTAGACCTGCTTTAGACCTGCTTTAGACCTGCTTTAGACCTGCTTTAGTCCTGCTTTAGACCTGCTTTAGACCTGCTTTAGTCCTGCTTTAGACTTGCTTTAGACCTGCTTTAGACCTGCTTTAGTCCTGCTTTAGACTTGCTTTAGACCTGCTTTAGACCTGCTTTAGTCCTGCTTTAGACTTGCTTTAGTCCTGCTTTAGTCCTGCTTTAGACCTGCTTTAGACCTGCTTTAGACCTGCTTTAGTAGACCTGCTTTAGACCTGCTTTAGACCTGCTTTAGTCCTGCTTTAGACCTGCTTTAGACCTGCTTTAGTCCTGCTTTAGACCTGCTTTAGACCTGCTTTAGTCCTGCTTTAGACCTGCTTTAGACCTGCTTTAGTCCTGCTTTAGACCTGCTTTAGACCTGCTTTAGACCTGCTTTAGTAGACCTGCTTTAGACCTGCTTTAGACCTGCTTTAGACCTGCTTTAGTCCTGCTTTAGACCTGCTTTAGTCCTGCTTTAGACCTGCTTTAGTAGACCTGCTTTAGACCTGCTTTAGACCTGCTTTAGACCTGCTTTAGACCTGCTTTAGTCCTGCTTTAGACCTGCTTTAGTCCTTTCCTTTATACAGACCTAAGTCACAACAGCAGTCGTCTGTGAGGACTTTACAGCGTTGTTGATTCGCCAACAACAGATCAGAGAATCAAACAAAGCAAATGCAACAATAACAAACACATAGAATCTTTAGTATCTCCTTTACATGTTTATAAATGTCCTACACATCCTCCTCTTCTTCTTCCTCTTCTTGTTCCCAGACAGAAGCGGCTCGCGGAGTGGAAAGCAGCTGAAATGAAGAATAAGTTTGTAGAAGTGGGTGAAATCTCAGGACAGGACTACATCAAAGAGGTCAACGAGGCCGGACCCGGGATCTGGGTCATCCTGCATCTCTACAAACCGGGGTGAGTCCTTCTGTTGCTAACAAACAGGTCTAGACTTTGGATCAGACACACATGGAGCTAAAGCGAATGTTTGGACTGGTTTCTTCTACTCACCCCCATAGACTGTATATCTGAAGTGGACTGAGCTCTGATGTCGCCATAGGGTTAGCATTCATCTGATTTGAACATAAGATAGCTGGAGCCAATTTCCTTATATGGGCATTTGCTCCAACGGCATGACCTGTTGCTAAGATGTTCCTGTATCTGATCAAAACTTAAGGCACACTGCTTTAGCCCTAAGATTCCCCAAAGCTCCCGCTCCCCGCCCTCAGCCCTAAACAACTTGAAATGACCCAAGTTGTACCAAAAAGTAAGTTTTGTAGATATTCAATTTCATGTCAATTTCTGCTTTTGAACCTGAAACATGAGATATGTATATATAGCCTATTAATGGGCATCAACAGTCATTCCTTCCCAACAGGAGTCTATCCAGACCCGGTGACCCAAGATGGCGACCTATTCAAATGAATGGCTTGTGCTCAGTAACGCATGGGACGTATACGGGATATTTGGGGATCGTCTGGTCCTCCCGGTTCTGCGCAGTGGACCAGCTCCAATGATGCTTTGAGCCAAATACGCGTGTGTGGCTCTCACGCACGTGCACAGAGGGGCTCGGCTGCGCTCTGACCAATCAGAGCTGCTGATCAGAGCGGAGCCAGAGCGGGAAGGAAACGAGCAGAGTTTGTTGCAAAAGATTTAACAAACAAAAAAAGTTCAGGACGAGAAGAGACAGTAAAATTCCCACAGAATCCTCCTTTATGAAAGCTGTAGGTTCTCTGTCAGGTTCTCTGTCAGCTGAGGTCGAGCTTTTAGTTTACATTGAGTTCTATGGGACTTTTTTCTGGGTAACGTGAAGTTAGTCTGCAGTACCACAGCGCCCCCTGTGGCCGTGGGTGGAACTACTATAAGCTAGTGGCACTATCCAGATATTATTCAAAATATTATTATAGATCCATGTGTCCATCGCGGCACAGCCCTGTAACATTGTTGTGTTTGCCCGTCTCTACCCCCCGTGTTAGCATGTGTGAATTAGCATGTGTGAATTAGCATGTTCCAAAGCTGTCCCTGTCCTCCGCTCTCAGGATCCCTCTCTGCACCTTGATAAACCAGCACCTCAGCGTCTTGGCGCGGAAGTTTCCCCAGACCAAGTTCCTGAAGTCCATCTCCACCACCTGCATCCCCAACTACCCCGACCACAACCTGCCCACCATCTTTGTTTACCACGAGGGCGACATGAAGGCCCAGTACATCGGCCCGCTGGTCTTCGGCGGCATAAACCTCAAACTGGACGGTAAAGGACCTCTGCCGTCGCTTTGTTCTGCACTAACTGTCTGTGTTTTGTCGGTTTTGTTTGTGTGTAATTGTGTCTTTTTACAGTGTGCTTCTCACTTCTCGTGTGTTTACTTTAACCGCACACAACAGTTAACTTTATTTAAAGTCTAAAGGAAATGTTTGTTGTTTCACCACCGCAGTGATTATTTTAGTGGACTCTCTCTGGTCTCTGGTTTCTTTTTCTGCTCTCTCTTTTCCCTGGTCTCTCTCTGGTTTCTGTAACCCATGTGCGTAACCGAGTGCGTAACCGTGGGCGTAACCCGTGTGTGCGTACCTGTTTGCGTAACTGATTGCGTAACTGAGTGTGTAGGCGTAATCGTAGGCGTAACCGTGGTCGTAACCAAGTGCATAACCATGGGCGTAACCTTGGCCACAACTCGTGTGTGCGTACCTGTGTGCGTAACCGAGTGTGTAATCGTGGGGGTGATCATGTGCGTAACCGTGAGCGTAAACATGGGCACAACCGAGTGCGTAACCTGTATGTGTGTAACTGTGCGCGTAATCAAGTGCGTTACCGTGGGCCTAACCCGCGTGTGCGTAACCGTGTGTGTGTAACCATGTGTGTAACCCTGTGTGTGTCTGTGTGTAACCATGTGTGTAACCCTGTGTGTGTATGTGTGTAACCCTGTGTGTATGTGTAACCCTGTGTGTGTCTGTGTGTAACCATGTGTGTAACCCTGTGTGTGTAATCGTTTGTAACCCTGTCTGTGTGACCATGTGTGTAACCCTGTGTGTGTCTGTGTGTAACCCTGTGTGTGTCTGTGTGTAACCATGTGTGTAACCCTGTGTGTGTATGTGTGTAACCCTTTGTGTATGTGTCTGTGTGTAACCATGTGTGTGACCATGTGTGTGTAACCATGTGTGTAACCATGTGTGTAACCATGTGTGTAACCCTGTGTGTAACCCTGTGTGTGTCTGTGTGTAACCCTGTGTGTGTCAGAGCTGGAGTGGAAGCTGTCTGAGAGCGGAGCGGTGAAGACGGAGCTGGAGGAAAACCCTAAAAAACAGATCGAAGACAAACTGATGTCGTCGATCAGGAGCTCGTTACCGTCGAGGAGAGACAGCGACGACAGCGACCAGGACTAACACACACAAAACACACAAAATGGACGCCTGGAGATCGCACACTTCCTCTGACAAACAACACAAGAGCCTCCACAAATGCTTCAAAGACAAATGAGATATTTTTTATTACGTCCATGAGTCCAAAGTCAAATACTTCTCATCCTCTCCGTCATTCGTCGTTGTGCGTTTTTTTCTAACAGGTGATGTCACTGTTGATTATAAAGGATTTGATTTCAACACTTTTTCTCGGTTATTTTCGGGGCTTCTTGTTTTGATGGTTGTGTGTGTGTGAGACTGTGGACATTCACCGGAAAGACACAGGTCAGTATTTTGTAAAGAAGTTTTATCAAAGAGAGAGAGTTAAAGGAGCAGTTTGTACAAATCTGGCCAAAAGTGGTACTGCAGCCTCTCCCACTCTCCCTGACTCAGGTTGCCAGATATGCAGACGAATCCAGCTGGGACCATAACAGCTGAATAGACAAGAGTTTTATCAACAACAAATCTATAACCAACACCTTTTTCACAAAGATAGAAATCCTGGTTTTATTCCTTGTTTTGTCGTTAATGATTTGAGAATCATAACGAGACCTTTTTTAGTTCTGCGCCACATGGTACTTTACCAGTGAGATTAGCTCCACGCGGTGAGTTCGGGCGCCCGGATCACAGACTTTCTGATTGGTGAAACGGTGGAGGGCGGGACAATAAGATTTAGGGACTGGAAAAGTAATTTAGAATCCAAATATCTCTGAACTACAGTTATCAGTTAAAGAAGTATTGGAAAAGACCATGTTTTATTAATGCCTTTTTTACAGATTAGGGCCCTTTAATGATGACTCAACATGAAAATCTTACATATTCTTTAAATGTTGTGTAGTTTACAAATGCAGCAAACAGGTGAGACCAAAGCTGTTCAACAAGAGACAAACCAACACACTTAGAACTTTAGGGAATGATATATAGATATATAGTCTATATAGATTCCCATCGCAGCTACATTATGACCATATATGGACTTATGTGAGAAAATCCAAAATAAATGTCAGTAAAAACAAAGAAATGTGTTTGTTTCACTCAAAATATGAAAATGACCGAGTGCAAACACAGCCGTGAATTGTAAAGAACACAATTTTATCGGAGAAGTTTCCATAATCATGTTTTTACGAGACTCTTGCCACTTTCATGCGATCTCTGGAATCTCGCAAACTCTGACCTCCCACTCGGAAAAATGGGAATAAACGGTGCTCAAGTCGGAATTTCAACTCAGAAACTCAGTTGGATCGTGGATGGATGAAAGAACAGAGGAAATGATACTGAGCGTGTGTGTTTTATGTCACTCTAATGGTTTTAATTCACAAAATATTTTAGGTCAAAATCTGCTCAAAAAGAGAATTATTGAATGTCTGGAAGAAATGTGTGAGATTGTGTTTGTGTGAGGAACAAGATTTTTGCGTCTGTGTGTGTGTGTGTGTGTAAGTGTCTGTCCGTCTTGAGAGTGTGAGTGTGTGTGTGGGAGAGTGCCTGTATTTGTCTGTGTGTTTGTGTGTATCTGTCTGTGCGTGTCTGTGTGTCTATCTGTGTCTGCGTCTGTGCTTGTGTGTCTATGTCTCTGTCCGTGTCTGTCTTTGTGTGTGTGTGTGTGTGTGTGTCTGTCTGTCTATCTGTGTGTGTGTTTGTCTGTGTCTGAGTGCGTCTCTGCCTTTGTGTGTGTCTATGTCTATGTCTGTATCTGTCTTTGTGTGTGTGTGTGTGTGTGTGTGTGTCTGTCTATCTGTGTGTGTCTCTTATTGTATGAAGCCAGAAGATGAAGCAGATCATTTTGAGATCGCACAAAAGCAACAAGAGTCAACTTTTTAAACCGTGGAAACAAGCCTCAAAGCTTCCGTTACTTCTTCTTCTTCTTCTTCTCTCTTTTTAACGAACCCCAATTACAAAATACTGACCCTTCTCTGAGGCCGGAAGACACAAAGAAGTCCTGGCAGTGAGACGCTAAAACAGGCAAAATTTACAATCATTTCTTTTCAGGCTGTGGCTCCGGCCGAGGCTGGTCCTGTGTCCGCTTCAATCTCTCTGTGGAACTCTGTGGCTTCTTCTCCTTCTTCTTCTCCTTCTTCTCCTTCTTCTCTTCTCCCTCCTCTTACAGTATGTCCTCCGGCAGGGCCCTGATCTGTGGGTGTCGATGTGAGGACAGCGATAATTGAAAGAAAACACATTAATTCCCGCTTTGCTTTAATCAAACGGTTTAAGAGAAAGACATTAAAGGTGTTTGGTCATTTACAACGGTTAAAACCAGGGGCCGCAATCACTGTGCGGGGTTTTATGGAGATTAAGATTAAGAGATCCTGTATTTGTCTCACAGTGGGGAAATTTCAGTGTTGCGTCACAAGTTATAGGACGGCAGGAAAGAGGAGCACAAGTGAAGTGAACAACAGCTGTACTAATTAAAATAAAACAAAAACTCAAACTCTAGCAGCAATAATAAGTGATTTCAAAGTCAGGAACCCTAGCTTTAAAAGGCGTCGCAATATATCGCTTTAGTTTGGACTGATTTTAGAGAAATTTCAAGCAGAAAAACACAGCCCTTTCTTTCCAAACTCTTCCAGACAGAGTAATACTAATATGTTTGTAGTCAATTATCAATTCTGTTTAATTATTATTTTATGATTTATTTAGAATATTATTTGTAAGTAATCTCTCTGCTCGGTTCACGTTGGAAAGTAGCATCTGTGTATTTGTAAATAGTTCAAAATAATTCTTACCAAAAGAACCACTTTCTTCTTTCTTCTTTGGGCAAGTTTTGGAGAGAGTCGCATGAGCGGGTGAACGGAGTGATTCTGCAGAAAGAAGAACACACAAACCTCAGTCCTGGGTCTACAGCCTCAGTCCTGGGTCTACAGCCTCAGTCCTGGGTCTACAGCCTCAGTCCTGGGTCTACAGCCTCAGTCCTGGGTCTACAGCCTCAGTCCTGGATCTACAGCCTCAGTCCTGGGTCTACAGCCTCAGTCCTGGGTCTACAGCCTCAGTCCTGGGTCTACAGCCTCAGTCCTGGATCTACAGCCTCAGTCCTGGGTCTACAGCCTCAGTCCTGGGTCTACAGCCTCAGTCCTGGGTCTACAGCCTCAGTCCTGGGTCTACAGCCTCAGTCCTGGGTCTACAGCCTCAGTCCTGGGTCTACAGCCTCAGTCCTGGATCTACAGCCTCAGTCCTGGGTCTACAGCCTCAGTCCTGGGTCTACAGCCTCAGTCCTGGATCTATGAATGATTGAGAATGAAAAGAGTTTAATTGTTGGTTCTGTGTCTGTGGTTTGGAAACATCACAGATAAAGAAAAGAGCTTTAAACAAGGTGCTCCGCTCTGAAAGAGGACTGTGAGACCAGAGAGAGACCAGAGAGAGACCAGAGAGAGAGACCAGAGAGAGACCAGAGAGAGAGACCAGAGAGAGACCAGAGAGAGACCAGAGAGAGAGACCAGAGAGAGACCAGAGAGAGACCAGAGAGAGACCAGAGTGAGGACTGTGGGCTGTGAGCTTCCTGTTCTGGAGGTTCTTTACAAAAGTGTGGGGTACGATCGACCGGAGAAGGATAAGTGAATGTTGGTGTGTTTTGGACTCAAATAAAGTCTGATTCTTGAGTAACAGTTTGAAGTGTTGTTGAAATAGCGCCACACTGTGGCAGCGAGGGTCAGGACTGAAGGGACTTAACCCCGTTGGAGCCAAACACTCCCCTGAGCCTCGACCACGGCCCAGGGGCTCACGTGAAGGTTTAACACAAGCAGAGAACGCAAAAGTATGAGACTGGAGACTAATGTGCTCAAGCCCAGTTGCCGCGGTTACACGACACCTCAAACCCGGATCTAATCCTGACCTGGGTCTAGACCCACTTGAACCGAGCTTCAGGTTGTGTTGATAACCACAGACTAAGTGCTGGACACAGAGCTGTGGGAGCAGTGAATACATCATGAAACCAAAGAAACCACAGCACTCTCCTCAAAGACCAGGACGAGTCCGGTCTGTGGAGACTCTCCTCCAGGACCAGGACGAGTCTGGTCTGTGGAGACTCTCCTCTAGGACCAGGACGAGTCCGGTCTGTGGAGACTCTCCTCCAAGACCAGGACGAGTCCGGTCTGTGGAGACTCTCCTCCAAGACCAGGACGAGTCCGGTCTGTGGAGACTCTCCTCCAGGACCAGGACGAGTCCGGTCTGTGGAGACTCTCCTCCAGGACCAGGACGAGTCCGGTCTGTGGAGACTCTCCTCCAAGACCAGGACGAGGTCTGTGGAGACTCTCCTCCAGGACCAGGAAGAGTCAGGTCTGTGGAGACTCTCCTCCAGGACCAGGACGAGTCCGGTCTGTGGAGACTCTCCTCCAAGACCAGGACGAGTCCGGTCTGTGGAGACTCTCCTCCAAGACCAGGACGAGTCCGGTCTGTGGAGACTCTCCTCCAAGACCAGGACGAGTCCGGTCTGTGGAGACTCTCCTCCAGGACCAGGACGAGTCCGGTCTGTGGAGACTCTCCTCCAGGACCAGGACGAGTCCGGTCTGTGGAGACTCTCCTCCAGGACCAGGACGAGTCCGGTCTGTGGAGACTCTCCTCCAAGACCAGGACGAGGTCTGTGGAGACTCTCCTCCAGGACCAGGAAGAGTCCGGTCTGTGGAGATTCTCCTCCAGGACCAGGAAGAGTCCGGTCTGTGGAGACTCTCCTCCAAGACCAGGACGAGTCCGGTCTGTGCAGACTCTCCTCCAGGACCAGGAAGAGTCCGGTCTGTGGAGATTCTCCTCCAGGACCAGGAAGAGTCCGGTCTGTGGAGACTCTCCTCCAAGACCAGGACGAGTCCGGTCTGTGCAGACTCTCCTCCAGGACCAGGACGAGTCTGTGGAGGCGGCCGTTCACGCTCAGCTCATGATGCACTGTTGAAGCAGCCTCACCTCTGGAGGCAGTGATCCCACAGAGTTCCGAGCTTTGGAATACTGGAACAGGAACTGGAAACAAGACCAAGGAATCAGCAAACTCATAAAAACACATTTTTATTTTATTTTTATTATTATTTTTATTATAATAAATCTGTGGAAAAGGGACTTACTCTTTTGAAAACATTTTGCACTTGTTCCTAGAAAAGAAAATCCATAAACATCTAATTAGGAATTAAATAAATGTTAGTTTCAAGTCAAAAGTGGATTCAAAGTGACACCAGTTAGACCAGGACCACACCAGGACTAGACCAGGACCACACCAGGACTAGACCAGGACCACACCAGGACTAGACCAGGACCACACCAGGACTAGACCAGGACCACACCAGGACTAGACCAGGACTAGACCAGGACTAAACCAGGACCAAACCAGGACCAAACCAGGACCAAACCAGGACTAGACCAGGACTAGACCAGGACTAGACCAAGACTTAACCAGGACCAAACCAGGAGTAGACCAGGACTAGACCAGGACTAGACCAGGACTAGACCAGGACTAGACCAGGACCACACCAGGACTAGACCAGGACCACACCAGGACTAGACCAGGACCACACCAGGACTAGACCAGGACTAGACCAGGACTAAACCAGGACCAAACCAGGACCAAACCAGGACCAAACCAGGACTAGACCAGGACTAGACCAGGACTAGACCAAGACTTAACCAGGACCAAACCAGGAGTAGACCAGGACTAGACCAGGACTAGACCAGGACTAGACCAGGACCACACCAGGACTAGACCAGGACCACACCAGGACTAGACCAGGACCACACCAGGACTAGACCAGGACCACACCAGGACTAGACCAGGACCACACCAGGACTAGACCAGGACTAGACCAGGACTAAACCAGGACCAAACCAGGACCAAACCAGGACCAAACCAGGACTAGACCAGGACTAGACCAAGACTTAACCAGGACCAAACCAGGACTAGACCAGGACTAGACCAGGACTAGACCAGGACTAGACCAGGACCAAACCAGGACTAGACCAGGACTAAACCAGGACCAGACCAGGACCAAACCAGGACTAGACCAGGACTAAACCAGGACTAAACTAGGACTAGACCAGGACTAAACCAGAACCAAACCAGGACTAAACCAAGACTAAACCAAGACCAAACCAGGACTATAAACTAGGAACTAAAACATGACTGAACCAGAACTAAATAGTACCAAACCAGGACCAAACCAGGACTAAACATGGACTGGAGCTGGACCATAAACCAGGACTAGACCAGGACTGAAACAGGACTAGACCAGGCCTATACACGGACCATAAACTAAACATACACTGAACTGAACCAGGATAAAAACAGGAAAACCAACTTGGACTAAACACCAAACACTACAATAGATAAAAGTGTGGTTTTAGTCTCATTTGTTCCACTTTCACAGACGCCGTTAATCATTCAACAACAACAACATGTCACAGATTCTACTTCCTGTTTCTGTGTCACTGATTCTCACCTCGTTGGAATCTCTCCACAAAACGCCGCTCACGTCCTGGTCCTGCAGATCTCGAACCTGCGAACGCACACATGATATTTCTTCAAACTCACGAGTCCGTTAGACTTTTCTAACTGTGAGATGTGACGACAGCAGAAACTAATGAGACGTTGTTTACTTTGTGCAGAAGTCTCTGAGGGTCCAATTTATCTGAGGCCGATGACCACAGACTAACACCACCTCACACACACTGGACCGCAGGGGTTCTCTAGGCGTTTACAGGCTTTAGGTCCAATGTTAAAGAAAATATACATAGAGTTGAGCTGGAGGATTGAGAGGAGCCTGGGTTCCTGGGTTTCTGGGTTTCCTCAGTTTCTGGGTTCCTGGGTTTCTGGGTTCCGGGGTTTCGGGGTTCCTGGGTTCCTGGGTTCCTGGGTTTCTGGGTTTCTGGGTTTCTGGGTTTCTGGGTTCCTGGGTTCCTGGGTTCCTGGGTTTCTGGGTTTCTGGGTTTCTGGGTTTCTGGGTTCCTGGGTTTCTGGGTTTCTGGGTTTCTGGGTTTCTGGGTTCCTGGGTTCCTGGGTTCCTGGGTTCCTGGGTTCCTGGGTTTCTGGGTTTCTGGGTTCCTGGGTTTCTGGGTTCCTGGGTTTCTGGGTTTCTGGGTTCCTGGGTTTCTGGGTTTTTGGGTTCCTGGGTTTCTGGGTTTCTGGGTTTCTGGGTTCCTGGGTTTCTGGGTTGCTGGTCCTGGATCTACAGACTCAGTCCTGGTTCTACAGCCTCAGTCCTGGATCTACAGCCTCAGTCCTGGGTCTACAGCCTCAGTCCTGGATCTACGGCCTCAGTCCTGGATCTACAGCCTCAGTCCTGGATCTACAGCCTCAGTCCTGGGTCTACAGCCCGAAGTTTCTCATTTTTCTCCCATTGGGTTTTAAAGTTATTCCTCTGGTGCAGGAGTCTGTTGGACAGTTAGTGTCTAACAAGAAGGACTGTGATGATCTAGGACACTTTAACTTTCTACAACATGTATGACATTTATCAACATTCATGGACATTGGTCTCTGCATATGGTCCAATACCATGTGTTCCCTCCCTATGGTCCAATACCATGTGGTCTCTCCCTATGGTCCAATACCATGTGGTCTCTCCCTATGGTCCAATACCATGTGGTCTCTCCCTATGGTCCAATACCATGTGGTTTTTAATCTCTGTGTTTGAACTGTGTGATTCTCTGATCTTGATGTACGCACCGATCGGAACTGAAGTCCATCTTCCCAGTCTCTGTATGAACTGGCGTCTGCAACAACAAGAACAGATTTAGCTTCACATGAGTGAGAACGGACATGTTTCTCTTCCTCTCTCTCCTTTTCCAGTTTGAATCATGTACCAACGTATAATAAGTAAATGTTAATGAATGATGTTAGAAAATGTTTTGTAGTAAAAACAAAGCGCTTTACAAATGTCGAGGGCGTTTGTCTCTGACTCCACACAGAGAGAGGGGCACAGGAGGAACATGACAGAGCTAACCCAGGAGCACCTGGAGGAAACCAGCAGACACAGGGAGAACATGCAAACTCCACTCAGAAAGGCCCCATTCTGACCGGGATTCGAACCCATGACCTTCGAGCTGTGAGGCAAGAGTGCTAATCACGCAGCCACCCATATATTTATGTATGTGTGTGTGTGTGTGCGTGTACAGTATGTGTGTGTGTACAGTATGTGTGTGTGTGTGTGTACAGTATGTGTGTGTGTGTGCGTGTGTATGTACAGTATGTGTGTGTGTGTATGTACAGTATGTGTGTATGTACAGTATGTGTGTATGTACAGTATGTGTGTGTATGTGTGCGTGTACAGTATGTGTGTGTGTGTGTGTGTGTGTGCGTGCATGTACAGTATGTGTGTGTGTATATGTGTGTATGTACAGTATGTGTGTGTGTGTGTGTGTGCATGTACAGTATGTGTGTATGTACAGTATGTGTGTATGTGTGTTTGTGCGTGTACAGTATGTGTATGTGTGTGTGTGCGTGTACAGTATGTGTGTGTGTGTGTGTGTGTGAGTGTGTGTGTCTATATGTGTGTGTGTGTGTGTACAGTGTGTGTATGTGTGTGTGTACAGTGTGTGTGTGTGTGTGTGTGTGTCTATATGTGTGTGTGTGTGTGTGTATGTGTACAGTGTGTGTGTATATGTGTGTATGTACAAGGTCTATGTATGTTAAAGGTCTGTATTTGTGAATTCAAACAACTGAATGTGATGACCAAATATCTGGGTTTGTTTCTTTAAGACCAGCTGTGGACTCTTTCTTTCCCTTTGAGTTCATAAACACCTTCACAACCAAGTGCAGACATAGCAGCAGACCACAGGACAGAGCAGAATCTTTTGTTGCATTTGTGCCAAAATGCCTGACGCCGGTCGCAACACACATCTCAGAGAAAGAAGAAACTTAGACTTGAAATAGTCTTGAATAAACAAAACTCAAAGATGCATGGATCAATCTAAAATAAATATATAAATCTGTAACTTTGCACAATATTTCCCCAAAACAAACCAATTTTTTTCGACTTTTGGAATGACCTTTTCCTGTTCCATCAACTTCCACCACTTTCTCTTCGGTCCAATGAATAAAACACATTTCCGGCTTGTTCCAGGATTCCGGTCTCTCTCGCCTTCGTCAGTGAATCAAATTGATGGGAATACCTCCCAGCGTCGGCCCTGGACTTTAATAATTGATAAGGCGTTAAAAGCAGCACTCCTTTTCAAACGCAACGCCATAAAACATGATTGGACCGAGCTGTGAGGATTATGTTCTTCGACTTCTCCAGCGCCTTCAACACCATCCAGCCGAGGCTTCTCAGGGACAAGCTGGAGACAGCTGGAGTGGACTACGACCTGTCCCAGTGGATCCTGGACTACCTCACAGACAGACCCCAGTTTGTGAGAACCAGGGACTACGTGTCTGAGGTCCTGACCTGCAGTGTGGGGGCCCCCCAGGGGACAGTCCTCGCGCCGTTCCTCTTCACCCTCTACACTGCGGACTTCAGACACAACACGGACGGTTGTGTTCTACAGAAGTTCTCTGACGACTCTGCCATCATCGGACTCAGCTCCGAGGACGATGACACAGAGTACAGAGGAGTTATGCAGAACTTTGTGGACTGGTGTCAGCGGAACCACCTCCTCATCAACGTGAGGAAGACCAAGGAGATGAACCACCTCCTCATCAACGTGAGGAAGACCAAGGAGATGAACCACCTCCTCATCAACGTGAGGAAGACCAAGGAGATGAACCACCTCCTCATCAACGTGAGGAAGACCAAGGAGATGAACCACCTCCTCATCAACGTGAGGAAGACCAAGGAGATGAACCACCTCCTCATCAACGTGAGGAAGACTAAGGAGATGAACCACCTCCTCATCAACGTGAGGAAGACCAAGGAGATGAACCACCTCCTCATCAACGTGAGGAAGACTAAGGAGATGAACCACCTCCTCATCAACGTGAGGAAGACCAAGGAGATGGTGGTGGATTTCCGCAGGCGTCACTCTGCCGCTCCAGCTCCAGTGAACTTCCAGGGAAAGGACATTGAGAGAGTGGACTCTTACAAGTACCTGGGTGTTAGGGCGTCTGTGTTAAACTGAACCAGTTTGTGGTTCAGTTTAACACAGACGCCCTCTTCAAGAAGGGCCAGAGTCGCCTCTACCTGCTGAGGAGGCTCAGGTCTTTTGAAGTGCAGGGGCCACTCCTGAAGACCTTCTATGACTCTGTGGTGGCATCAGCCTCTTGTACGGTGTGGTCTGCTGGAACAGCAGCATCACAGAGAGGGACAGGAAGAAGCTGGACAAGGTCATCAGGAAGTCCAGCTCAGTCCTGGGCTGTTCCCTGGACACAGTGCAGCAGGTGGGGGACAGGAGGGTCCTGAGCAAACTAACATCTATGCTGGACCATGACTGTCGCCCCCTGCAGGACACTCTGTCTGCTCTGGAGAGCAGCTTCAGTGACAGACTAATCCACCCTCGCTGTGTGAAGGAGAGGTTCCGCAGGTCTTTCCTTCCTGCTGCTGTCAGACTGTACAACGAGAATGTGTAACAGGAACTGCTGAGTGTTTCTGATAATTCACTAGTAACTTTGTCACTAGTCACTTTACCTGTTATCAGTACTACTACAGTACTACATATCTGATATTTACTGTTATCCGTACTACTACAGTATTACATATCTGATAATTCTGCCTTTCACCGTCACTTTACCTGTTGATATCTTACTGTATTGTTACATATCCATCTGATAATTCTCCCATTCAAGTCACTTTACCTGTTGATATTATTTCTGATGTTTATTCTGCTCATATTCTCATATTCTCTGCTGCTAAAGTATAATATAGACATCTGTAAATACTTCCGAACCAAGTGCAATTATAGCCCAGAGTTTATCTCATTTTATTGTATCTTAAATGTATTGTCTATTATCTTAAATAATAGACTTTGATGTGTGCGTCTGAGTGCTCTTATTTCCTCTCTCTGCTGTATTGTGCAACGATGACACTGAAATGTCTCCACTGTGAGACTAATAAAGGTTTATCTTATCTTATCTGATGCCATACAAACACATAGAGCCACTGTCAGACTGTAGAAGGAACAAGACGGGGGCGATTATTGTGAGGTTATTTGGTTGTTCTGTCCCAGGCAACTGTACGATACCGATGTTATTAGCTTGATATGTTTTGACTTTGACAGTTACTTGATTTCGGTCAGTGTGCCCCAGGGCAGCTGTGGCTACAGCAGTGTGTTTGGAGCCAGTGAATAATGTTGTGAAGCGTCTTTGAGAGTCCAGAAAAGAACCATATAAACCCAATGCATTATTATTGTTATTATTATTATTAAGTTACTACAATACAGTTTTATTGAGGGAAAAAGTGTTCTGAGGCATTGGGAATTTAGAGATTTCAAGTTTTTTACTATATAATAATGCATCCGTTTTATACAGCTCTTTTTTGGACGTTTAAACACGCTTCACATGTCATTATTCTCTCTCTCCAAACACGGTGGTGAGAGTCAAAGTGAGACGGCAGAACTCGTAATAAAAGTGTAAATCTGAATCTTTATTTCACACAATCGCAACAACCCTGTCCCCTGGCTGTGTCCCTGATGAGGCCCCGCCCACAGAACACAAAATGGCTGACAAGGACACGCCTCCTCACTTTGTCACAACATGATATGATAATTCTTTGATACCATTAAAGCTGTGATATGTAACTTTTTTGCGTATTAAAAGTACATTTTGTTTGTCCCAACAGAAAGTTTGTGAAGAAATCAGTCCACAGCATGCAGTCTTTTACATAAGTGCGAGAAAGAGCCCTGGGAGTCTCTGTCGGACGCTTTGGTCTGAGTCCTGGATCAGTCTGAGTCCTGGATCAGTCTGAGTCCTGGATCAGTCTGAGTCCTGGATCAGTCTGAGTCCTGGATCAGTCTGAGTCCTGGATCAGTGTGAGTCCTGGATCAGTCTGAGTCCTGGATCAGTCTGAGTCCTGGATCAGTCTGAGTCCTGGATCAGTGTGAGTCCTGGATCAGTCTGAGTCCTGGATCAGTCTGAGTCCTGGATCAGTCTGAGTCCTGGATCAGTCTGAGTCCTGGATCAGTCTGAGTCCTGGATCAGTCTGAGTCCTGGATCAGTCTGAGTCCAGCCCTCTCTCAGTATTCTTCTCTCCACAACTTCTTTCCCACTGGGCTTTTTTGAGTGGTTCCAGGGCTGAGATTTTTAACATATTTTGTGATTCAATTCTTTGATATTTTGTGATTCATGTCCCTCATATTTTTCAAAATCAAAAGTGTGTGGGTTCTTTTGTTGTTGTTTTTATTTTGTTTATGATATTTTTTGTTTTTTTTTACATATTTTTGTCTTTTGACATTAACTGTTTTTGACACAAGTTTGGACAAATATCAAGAAGAGATGCACTGAAGGTTGATAGTTAAATATGAAAAAAAATATAAATATATGGAATAACTATAACTTCTGATAACATGTTTTACAATAAAGTATAACATGCCATAGTATCCCATTTCCATCAATGCTGTACGTTACTGTGATCATTGAAAATCATATCAGGGTCCACTAAACTGGTCTGAGTTTGACACTTTGATTCTGCAGAGTATTTATTCTCCCTCCTCTTCTCCTCATGGACCAATGTCTCCTTTGTGTTTGTTATTCTTGCATTTTTCATGTGTTCCGTTTGATTCTCTGATCCGCTGTTGACGAATCCACAACTTTGATCCTCGAGACGACTGCGGTTGAAATTTGTAATAAATTTGTGAAAACTAGTGAATGTTAGGTTGATACCATGTGCTTTGAAAGTCAGGTTCCTCAGCTTTAATCCGTGCCGCCTTTAAACACTACTTTGAGAGATTTGAATTGATTTAAACATTTAGACTTTTTAACATTTGTTCGATGACTTTCCATAAGTGTTTACGAGTGTTCTGTGTGTAAATGAGATCACAGTCTGTGCGTCTGAACCGATGCGTCAGATGTTGTTTGGATAAAGAACTGCATTAAAGCATGACTCCGGCTTTGGATCCGTGAATTATGGAGCGGCTGCAGCTACAGGACAAACGGTTCCATGCTCACGGGAGGTTTCTTTTTAGTTTGAAACATTGAAATGGATCGAAAACTCTGCCTCCCACTATATCACCGCGAAATAACTTGAAATGCATCCATCCATCGGCAAAAACGCATTTAATTCCATATATTTTTGTACAGCCCTAAATCACAACAGTGGTTATCGCGGAGGTCTTTACAAAGCTGTCGATTCACCAACACAGATCAGAGAATCAGACAAACACAAGAAAATGCAAAGTTAAAAACATCGGCAGAGACCACTGTCCTCAGACCCCCTTTAATAACAGGCTTTTTCATTTTATATTTTAATGAGGAAAGACTTTTCACAAAACTATTTTCTGTACACGACTTATAACACATGTCTTTTCTTCCTCAAAGAATCGTGTAAATGTTAGACATTGTGAACACATCAGACCACACGCTGTCCTCATCGCATTAGAATAAAACATGTTATCAGTACAATTTTCTTAAGACTGAGCCACGTGAGTCACTGCAGGACGCTTTGAGCTGATTGGCCGAGTGCATTCACTTTTGTTCACTTTTCTGTCTAAAAAAGCGGATCAAATAAATTCTTGTATCTTGTAGAGGCCAAAAATACGTGTGTATGAAAACTAGGGATTGTGAGAGATTTGGGAGCGAGGAACGACAAAGTTTGGGATTTCAAAGTTAGGTTCCTGAGCTTTAATTCAACTCTGTGGGAAAGGCATTCTACATACAACTAACTTTGATCTAAATTAAATGGTTGTTTGGTTTCATCTTTGAACATGAGTAGCCTGTTCCTCTCTCTGGGAAATAAAATCCAAATATCTCGTTACGCACGCATTACGCACGGGTCTTTTGTTGGAAATACTTGTATGCGATCCCCAATCTATGTATCACTCCATCTAAAACTTTCTCCGAGTATCTGAATAGGTTTATAATATCATAGATTGTTTTCAGCTTTAACAAAAGTAGCCTTGTCTCCTCTATTGGAAAGAAAGTAAAATGGCATTATTACGCACGCATTACGCACGGATGTTTTAGTTGGCAATACTTGTAAGAAACCCCCAAATTATGTATCAATCAAAAACTGTCTCTGTACATCTCTATATGTGTAGAATATCATAGTTTAGTTTCAGTTGAAAAACAAAAGTAGCCCATTTCCACTACTGAAAGAAAAAATCTAGAATTCTCAGTACGCACGCATTACGCACAGCTGTTTTGGGAAATTAATGAATTCATCCAACTTTAACTTCTTCTCTATATCTTTACATTCTCAAAATCAAAGTCCCAAGTCTTACCTGTCGAGCAGCAGAAGCACCAAAGCAAACACAAAAGGCAGATCTGTCTGATGGATGGAGCGTTCATCCTTTCGCTCCTTTCGTAAATGTCCGTTTGCTCTTGTCCTTTACGCGCGCGCAGTGACTTCTGGGTTGTGGTTCTTTGACTCGTGCTGCTCTTTCTGATTCCCTTCAGTTAAAAGAGAACTCAACTTTGGAGACATGCTTCCAACAACCAATCCCCGCCCTCCTGGTCATCGTGCGCCGCAACCTCTATTCCCCACAGGGCCATCGCCTCCAGGATTACGCACACACACGCACGCACACACACACACACACGAGCGTAATCAAGATGCTATTGATTAGAGATATACAATTCCACCACTAATGAGACGCACATAAGCAATGACGAAGGTGTTACGCGTAAGGACTTATTTTTCCCGGACAGAGTGTGACCTTTTATTTGAACACTATATAACTCCCAGAGAGCAGTCAATTTGACGGCTTTTCGTCATTTCTCGGCACTTGTATATTTTTGGTCGTCTTTGAAGCTTTTTTCTTGTATTAATATGTTGTTTATTTCTGTTTCATGATATTGTATGAAATTATTGTAGGGAGTGCTAGAAGTTTTGGAATTCTGGGAGTTCTCGCAATAATAACATGTTAAATTTGAAATAGGCAAAGTGAGTTTATTTGTGCAGCACAGTTCATACAAAAGGAAAGTCAAAGTTTGATAAAAAGAGTAAAGATACTGTCTAAAAAGTGCTTATGTCAAAGTGGGACAGAGGATGGAGAAACATCTGTGTGTAATAGTTTATTTTTCGTTTAAAGGAGCACAATGTAAAGATGTGGCCAAAAGTGGTACTGCAGCCTCTCCCACTCTCCCTGACTCAGGTTGCCAGATATGCAGACGAATCCAGCTGGGACCATAACAGCTGAATAGACAAGAGTTTTGTCAACAACAAATCTATAACCAACACCTTTTTCACAAAGATAGAAATCCTGGTTTTATTCCTTGTTTTGTCGTTAATGATTTGAGAATCATAACGAGACCTTATAGTTCTGCGCCACATGGTACTTTACCAGTGACATTAGCTCCACGCGGTGAGTTCTGGTGCCCGGATCACAGACTTTCTGATTGGTGAAAAGGTGGAGGGCGTGACATCGAAATGAAAACAATAACAAGATTTAGGGGCTGGAAAAGTAATTTAGAAATCCAAATATTGCTGAACTATTGTTATCAGTGAAAAAAGTATTGGAAAAGACCATGTTTTATTAATGCATTTGCACAGATTAGGGCCCTTTAATGATGACAGATTAGGGCCCTTTAATGATGACAGATTAGGGCCCTTTAATGCTGACTTGACATGAAAATCTTACATATTGCTACTTAAATCCGTGTGTGAAAGTCCGTATTCAAATGGGGAAAATGCTCTTAGCGAGTGATTGAGTCTGTGTCTGAGTGAAGTGGCAGAGATAGAACAGGCAATAACCACCAAAGCTGTTGACTCTTCACTGGTAATCACCGCCATCTTCTGTGATTGGACCAAACAACCACAGGAAATAATACCTCATGAGCTCCGGAGCTGGGGCCACATTTATCCAAGAGAAGACGGATCAAACCCACCTCACACAAACAAGGAGCCAGGTTTCAGGCCCGGGCTGCAGAACAGTCTTAGAGCAGGGTTAAAAAAGTACAAAAATGCAGATTCTGGTTAATTGATATTTGGAGAAAAACTATTTATTTTAATTAGAAAAGTCCCTTTGAGTCCTGGACACGAGGCAACAAAAGGTACACACAGGAGTGGAGTACCTTTTTCTGGTCTCTTTATGGTCTCTCTCTGGTCTCTCTCTGGTCTATCTAGTCTCTCTCTGGTCTCTCTCTCTGGTCTATCTAGTCTCTCTCTGGTCTCTCTCTCTGGTCTCTCTCTGGTCTCTCTCTCTGGTCCCTCTCTCTGGTCCCTCTCTGGTCTCTTTCTGGGCTCTCTCTGGTCCCTCCAATCTTGATAGTCTTTTGCCGGTCTCTGGTCTCAGCTCACAGTTCTTTTTCAGAGCGGAGCCCATCTCTCTGGTCTCTCTCTGGTCTCTCTCTCTGGTCTCTCTCTCTGGTCTCTCTCTGGTCTCTCTCTCTGGTCTCTCTCTGGTCTCTCTCTCTGGTCCCTCTCTGGTCTCTCTCAGGCCTCTCTCTAGTCCAGGGGTGGCCAACCTGCGGGTCGTGAGCCGCATGCGGCTCTTTGGCTGGTTCCGTGCAGCTCTCGGGCTTTCACACGACAAGCGTCAAAAACGCCTCGGTGGTGGCGCTGCCATTCATTCCCTATGTAGTTCTGACCCATAGTAAAGGCCGACTTCACTCCACTAGCCAGGCCACCAAAACAATCTGACGTCGGCGAACGTCAATTCTGATTGGTCAGATGTGCTGTCAATCACTCTGCAGCTGCTGCCTCAGCTGTTGCAAATATCACAACAAACAACATGTTGCCTCAACCCATGACGTCTATATGGAAAACAATTCCTTGGTCGCTGGATGAGGGCAACACCTTCCTCAGTTTGAGGAGAGGACACCAGCGTGAGCTCGATGGTTCCACCAGAAACCAGAAGGTGTTTGTGGAGGTAGCGCTAAGGACGGAGCAGAATGATTCCCACAAACATGACAATGCAGAGAAAAGTGAAATGAAAGATCACAGCAGCAGAAGTAGAGGCATACCGAAAAGTCTGGAGGTGGTTTGACCAAATGGATTAAATTTACGGACATCGGCTAACACCAGCTAACACCGGCTAACATGCTAAAACCAGCTAACACCAGCTAGCGTTACACCAGGAGATAAGCCGACTCTGCCTGGTGAGTGTGTCTTCAATCAAATGCAAAAGTATCTGGTCTTTTACTGAACATGTGTTTGTGGTTCTAAATCAGCTAAAGTGGTGTTGGTGTTATGTGTCACATCTATATCTTTTACTAAACTCAGTCAGAGTGAATCATGGTTCGATAAAGACAGTTGTGTTTCTGCTGAATACTGGTTTGAAACTTGCTTTTTTCATTTCGGAATTATAATTGATGTTCGCTGACGTGATATTGTTCTGGTATCGACTCGCCCGGTTAGAACCAGGGCCAAACCATTAATAAAAAGTACCGGGGAGCGGTTGAAGCGAGCGGTAGAAGCGCCCGCAAACCGGGGAGAGTCGAGTCCAGCCATTTAGTACTGTACGAGTCAATTTCTGTCATTATCATGTTGATGACATTTACAATAAATCTGTCTAGTCTCTCTCTGGTCTCTCTCTGGTCTCTCCCTGGTCTCTTTCTGGTCTCTCTCTCTGGTCTCTCCCTGGTCTCTTTCTGGTCTCTCTCTCTGGTCTCTCTCACGTGTGAGTTTGGCCTGTACACATGAATAGATTTGAACATATACAGTGGTATAAGTCATATCCGTGTTTAGTCAGTGGAGGAATGGGCCAAAATACCAGCAACAGTGTGTGAAAACCTTGGAAAGCCTTACAGAAAACATGAGACCTCTGTCATGGCCTAGAAAGAGTGCACAACACAGTATCGAGATGGACTTTTATTATTAATTAACTATGAACATATTTTTTCCCATAGTTGAGGTTTCCCAGTGATAAAAATGAGACATCTTTTATCTTCTGAAGCGGGACGACTTTGCAGAATCTGAGTCTGACCGAGTACATTTATTGCTGCTGATTCTCGACATATCGTCATGTGGACAAAGCGATGGAAGAGTCCGTCCTCGAGGAGCTCTTGGACTCGGATCTGGCCTCTGCTGTGATCTCTATGTTTCTAAATGACGGCCTGTGACCCCTTCGCTGGCCGTGGGACAAACGTGTACTCATTAGGATGCATTCGCTGTCAGCTGAGTGTTTCATTACCTGAGTGTCAGCCTGTCACACGACCCCTGAACACATCACACATATATGTTAGTGACGTCCGGGGCGTCTGACTCACGGACATGTCTTTTACTGCAGTCTAATGATCTTTACTCAAGGATTCTGAAACTATGACGTCTACCAGAGAAGGTTAGCTAGTAGTTTTGATCAATTCAATTTAATAATAATAATAATAATAATAATGCTTTTCAGGGCATTCAAAGACGCTTCACATGTCATTATTCATTCACTACAAACACAGTGGTGATAAACTACTACTTTAGCCACAGCTGCCCTGGGGCACACAGACAGAAGCGAGGCAACCAGTTTGTGCCTTCAGCCCCTCCCACCACCACCAACCCTTCACACACACACCAGACTCATTCTAAAGTGGGTGAAGTGTCTTGCCCAAGGACACAGCGACATAGCTTCACTTTACAGCCTGCAGCCGCCCCACTGTGGCACCTGGTGTTCTCAGACGTCTCCCATCACAAAACTAACCAGGCCCTGCCCTGCACAGCTTAAAACGGGTAAATATATCACTTGAAATACAGCTAAAACAGTTTGTTGAAAAGCTAATGCTAAAGACCAGATGCTGTGTTGCTATGGTAACTGGCCCTTACTTACTCCTACTTACTCTTCAGCAGTGGAAAACCAGGCTAAGTCTATACTCAGATCCAGAACCAGTCCGGGCCAGTCCAGCACCTTGGAGAAAAAAGTCTTTAAATGAACACAAATTAGAAGCCGTCAAATGGACTGCTCTGGGAGTTCTGTTCTGTAACATGTAAAAGGATTTGATGTGTGTGTGTGTTTGTGTTCATGTGTGTGTTTGTGTGCGTTTGTGTGTGCATATGTGTGTGTGTATTTTTGTGCGTTTGTGTCTTCGAGTGTGCGTGTCTTTCTGTGTGCGTCTGTGTGTGTGTGGCGTGTGTGTGTGTGCGTTTGTGTCTTTGTGTGTGTGAGTGGCGTCTGTGCACGTTTGTGTGTGTGCGTGTGTGTGAATTTGTGTGTGTGTGTGCGTTTGTGTCTTTGTGTGTGTGTTTGCGTATGTGTGTGTGTAAATCTTATGATTAATGCAATAGGATTTGTGTGGCTTAAAACTGAGACTTAACTCTCTTGAGAGCTGATTGGCTGAGAGCTGATTTCTCTGAGAGCTGATTGGCTAAGAGCTGATTTCTCTGAGAGCTGATTGGCTAAGAGCTGATTTCTCTGAGAGCT